ACAGTTAGACTCGGCCAGTCTAGGGTGACAAAATCTTAAATCAATTATGGCATTCACTAGAATGCCAAGACAGACGAACTAGTCATTATTATGCATGGTTATAATGACTCACATAGAGATCCAACACCATATAAGTAATCAAGGGGAATCATATGCATTTGATTGTGACGATACAGTAATACAAAAAGATCATACTATTTACGTCGGAAAAAATCGGGTTTTCCTGGGGAACAACATTATTCACTTTTACTTTCAGCAACTATAATACAAGAATTTATTATGAAAAACTTATCACTTTTACACGTTTGAAATCATTCACACAATACTTATGGATCATCGCACCTATTTCGTAAACAATTGTTGTTTCAGAAAATATCATATTTTCTGGGTTTTACAAACTATACAAACATTTTCATATCAAACCTGCTTATGAACTCACCAACATTATATATGTTGACCGTTTTCAAAATAACTTGTGTTCTCAGGTAACAGATAAGCTGAATAAATTTACCAAGTATGTTAGGATGTCTTGTTTTGTGACTCTCAAACAACTTATGCTATGGATATATAACATTTAGACAATGTACTTGATGTGAACAAGGTCAGTTGTAATGTATTAATGCATGGTGATGTTTATGTTATGTTTCATGTATATTCATTGTGATGATATTTCAATTTAAATCACACGAATCCCCAGACATTTCTGCCGTCTGGTTCGGGGGTGTCACAGGTTGGTATTAGAGCTTTATTTATAGTGAACTAGCATATCTAATGTGACAACTGCCAATTCAGGTCATTCTTGGACTCATGCATCTTTATAATAACCATTCATGCACAACATGCCATGACCTAGTAGTATAAATTAGGTCAAAAATCTTGCATAAACTAGGATCCAACTGAGGTCTAGGACTAATATACTTGATACTTACAATTCTAGTAAGTTGCTTAGCTAGAATAGGAAATGCCAATACTATAATTAGAATAAAGCTTCAAGCTTTGTTATAATTGAAATAGGGTATAAAACTCTAAAAATAAATTAAAACATTCTAATTATACTTCAACATGTTGTTGAATATCAAACAATATTCCAAAAACCCTAAAGAGCCAAAAATCCAAAGTTATAAATTATAAAGCTTAAAAACTTTATAAAATTTGGCTATAAACTTCCTAATATCAAATTTTATTAATCAAATTATGGATTATACCAATGAACTAGAAATATAAATTACAAGTATTAATCATAAATTATTTGTTGAAAACAAGATTTTTAAATAAATCAAATTGCTTAATAAACATTTTATAAAAATGAATGTTTTTATACAAAATATAGGAGGGAAGTTTATAAAGTTTAAAATTTAGGAGAGAGGAGGCCAAAATGCATGCAAAAACCGGCCATCACCTTTCCCCATGCACTCTCTCTTCCCCAAAACACAATCATTAAGCTTAAACCCTTACTCCACCTCTTCCCTCTTCACTCTCTCACTTCACTCTCTTCACACACTTCACTCTCTTCTTCCCTCTCTCTAAAATCACGAAAATCCTCTCATTTCTCTGCAAAATTTCGAGATTTTGAAGCCCTTGAAGTGTTCTTACTTCTCTCAAGGTCAAAACCAAGGTAAACAACAACATCTTCTTCCATAGTTTCATGGTTAAACCTCTTTTTCTTCTTAGTCTTCTCTACTTTTCGGATTCTATGCCTTTCCATGGCTAGAAATCTTTATTCTCCCCTTGTGGTTTGTAGATTCTCACCATAACACAATGCATGTGTTAGAGATGGTGAAAATCCGGGATCAAACCCATGCAAGGAGTGGAAAAGATGCACATATGATCATGTGACATCAAAACCTAATATTTCATGTTCTTCTCCATTTCTTTTGTGTTCATGCATGAACAAAAGCATTTAAACCATTTCTAGTACATCTTGGATGCTCATTCATTCCATGCATGTGTTAGAAATCGGGCCTTACCAAAGACATGCATGATGTTCTTGTTGAAATACCCTAATAATGCACACAAGCAAACATGCAATCTGCCAGATTACTTTGTTCGACTTTGAACAGTCATAACTCAGTCATTTCTTAACCAAATCATGATATTCTTTTTGTATTGGTTAGTTCCACGAGTTAACTTTCAAACCCAACTGGTCTCACTGTAAAATATTAAATATCCGAGTTTTAGCAGATTTTACAAAAAGGTTGCGCATACAGCTCTTTTTCTGTGATCACTATTTTTATCTTGCTTAAACAATGGCCTTAAACCCAACCATAAATCTGAGGAAAAATACCTTAGAAACTTAACATATATAGTGAATTATGGTTGAAATTTCGTGGCTTAAAACCTCACTGAATGGGCTACACAAATTCATGAACTTCAGCCACATTTACACTTCATACATTTTTTTTACATTTTTTCTTTTGAAAGCCCTTGCATGCATGAGATAATCTGGAAAATTTCAAGAGCTTTTGTTATTTCTTTGATTTATTAGAATTATTGCTAAAACCAAGGGCATAAATCATATAAAATACTTCCAGAGGTCAATAAATCCTAAATAAATTCATGGATGATCCTTATGGGGAATAATGACCCCTCACCAAATTTCAGCAATTTTTGTTACTGTTTCATATGATTGCTAATTTTCTTTTATTTAGGACATGATAAATTACAAAACCACTTTATAGGATGTGAAAATTGTATCTAACAATTTTCGCATACCTTACCTATGATGGGTGACTCTAGAAAATAATTTCAAGATTTTCCATCATGTTTTACTATTTTTCCCAATTTTTGGTAATTATAATGGTCTAAAAATGGGAGAAATAGTTCTGATTATCGAAAATTCATGAAAATTTACCAGGATATAATATTATAGAGTAGGAGGTTACATAAAAATTTTGAATATTTTTCTCTACTGTAAACTATTTTTCTCTTATTTTCTAAAGTTAATTGCACTAAAATACACTTAAATATACATAAATACCCAAAACCAGTTTATACATTATGAAAACCACTTTTGATATTTTTCCCAGGATATTTATACTGTAAATGATGTTACAAAAATTTATGGTTATTTATTTTAACTGTTTAATATTATTTTTTTAATTAATGACTATTTAAAGGAATAAAGCAAGGAAAAATAGAAATACCCACTGAAAAATATCTTTTATATTTTTCCCAGCCTATTTATGTATAATAACAATTAAATAAAAAGTTTGGGTAATTTTGGAAACTGTTTTCTATTTATTTCAATTTTTATTGAAATAAATGCTCAAAAATCATAAAATATAATTAAACAGCTTGGAAATCCATTTTTATAATTTTCCCAACTTAGTATTGTGTAATAACAGTTAAATAAAAAGTTTGAGAATTTTTATCCCTCGAATGCTATTTTCGTGAATTTATGTTGTAATAAGGACTTAAAAATTTGGAAAGTTTATATTCCAAGGTTGTAATTAATCGCCCGATATATAGAATTTCATTACTTCAGAAAAAGTGTAACTAATTGATATAAAATCCAATACTAAAACATAAATTGGCATTTCCCTATATGTAGAGTTTAGTATATTAGCATTAGATATCGACATGGAAACTCACCAGTGCGTGTGTTTGATGTCGTAGGGGTCCCGGTAGTAAGACGTTGGTGCATCCCGAAGTACCGCTTGTGTCTACACAAAACATCGTGAGTATTCACCAATCCCCTATTTTATGGTTTTAAATGTTTTGGGGTGGAAAAGCATGTCCTAAACTATTTATATCCGTTGTATTTATTTTAACTCGTATAAACTTGGTTGCTATATTTAGCATATTGTGAGTATTCACGCACTCCCCTATTTTCGGTTTTTATGTTTTGGGGTGGAAAAGCATGTCCAGAAAAACTACTGTTTGCATGTTGTATTTAAATTGAATTGTATCAAACATGATTGCTATTGTATTGCTATGTTTCTTTATGTATGTCTATGCAACACGGAACATGAGAACTTATCGTACTAAGGCCCTTCCCTTATCTCTAACCATTAACTCTTTGAGCCAATGGTCGTTATGGATAGCGCTATTAGGAATTGACAACTCCTCACTCGCCCGAATCGCTGGAGTGCATGATACCATATTCATCTATGGAACGATAAGCATAGATCTTGATAGGGCTTCAGTTATAGGTTTGGTTGAGACTCATTGTTTGCTCATACACATACAAACTCGTTTCTCGTTATAGCAATAAACTTGTATTCATTAATAGCAATCAACTTGTTTATCATTGAAGCAATGTACTTGTATTTACGAAAAGCCTTATTGTACGCTCGATTTTTATAAACTTGTGATACTCACCAACTATTTTCATAGTTGGCGCTCGTTTTACATGCTTTTTCAGGAAGTAATTAGTAAGTGGATGTAAAGATTCATCATCATAGAGCATGCTGCATCGTGTTGAAGCTATTATGAAGCTATATTTTGAACAATGTTATTTTGAAAAACTTGTATTTTGTTTCTTTTGAAGCTATGGGTTGTAAACTCTTAAATACTGCTATGGTGATGTATCTTTATCTTTTGCATTGAAACCGTTATCGCTGTCATACCTTGCGTTTCCGCTTTAGCGGGGTGTGACATCTAACCATACATGATATGCAACTATAAACACAATGGGAATAAATAACTATGAAAATGGTAAATAAAATACTTACCTATGTGCGCGTTTTAGAATAACAACATAATACTAAACAATAAAAGTCATTAGGGGATTTGGACGTTGTGAATTAACCTGGGCAGTTATGTAATCGTATCGGGGATCAATGTAGCCTCATCAACTACATTCATTCAAAGTACGCTCAACATATGTCTGGGAAAAATCGTGATGGTCAAATAAACCGAAAGCTTACCATATAACTATCCAAATAGGTTAGAGGAACTAAACTTAAGAAAAATAAAGACGGTAGGAGTATTTTAAGAATGCTATCCTTATACACCCCAATGCACACACTTTTCACACTTACACTTCCCCCGCAGGCGATATGGTAGGAATGCAACAAGACGACCCCTACTATCAAGCTCTAGTTGTCTATGGAGAGATTGAGGTGGGTCTAGATGACAATCCTGAAGAAAACCCTGAAGGAGGCCCTGCAATGGGTCAGGAGGTGGGACCCGGAGTGGAACCAAAAGAGTACGTGGTAACTGATTATGAATATGATGAATTTGACTGGGAGTCAGATGAAGGAAAGGATGCTAAGGAGACACCTAGTAAGCCCCAACCATCAGAAACCCTATTAGACCCACACACGATTCAGGAAAGTGATACAAACTACATACACACTCTTGAGAAAGAAATAGCCAATTTCAATCGTCAACTGTTTGCGGCCGAATCTAGAGCCGTTCGAGCCGAGCAAAGGGAAGAAGTAATCACCCAGGAGGTGAATGAACTAATTGAACTTCTGATACGCCAACTTGACGATTGAGTATCATCGTCGTCATAACAGATAGAACGTACCCTACTACTTGCTATTATAGGTTTTACAGTATGTAGGACCAGCTGTAGCTCCTACTAGCATTGTGTTTCTATGGATATTATGTTGTAATACTGTCAGATTGTACATTTTCCTATGAAATGTTTGCCCTTCTGGCAAATTTTCCTGTATTAAAATGGCTATTTCTAGTAGAAATGCTATATGTTTTAATATGAGGTTTCACTAATGTGCACAAACAAACCATCAAAACAGTTAGATACTCAAGAACCTTGAAACCAAAATAACCTATGAACTCTATGAATAAGACGTAATATTCGTGACAAGTTTACAAATTACCTATTATCATAAACACACCATAGGAATATAGATCGAAACATTGTGAACCATACGATAAAATGTGAAAGTTACGGAGCACTAGCGGAAATGACCGTCTTTGCTTACAATCATGCTTATCATCATGCAGCATGAGATGTCATTTCACAGAAATAACAAGCACACACGTGAAGCACCACTCTTGCAGATAGACCTTACTACATTCCAAGTTGCTGTCACCGCTGCCGTAACTGCTGTTATGGCGCAACTCAACGCAAGCAACACCAACAGAGGTGGAAATAGCGTTGACAACACCAGTCGAAGTAACAACCAATGTTACACCCCGAACCAGACGGCGGAAACGTCCGAGGGTTCGCGTGACTCAAATTGAATATCATCACAATGAATATACATGAAACATAACATAAAGTTCACCATACATCAACACATTGCAACGGACATTGTTCACATCAAGTACATTGTTTAAACATTACATATCCATAGCCTAAATTGTTTGATAGTTTTCAAAAGCATAACACCCTAACATACTTGGTATTACTCCTCAGCTTACCTGTTACATGGGAATACAAGTTATTTTGAAGAAAAAAAACGTCAACATATGGAATGTTGGTGAGTTCATAAGCATGGTTGTTATGGAAATGTTTTGTGTAGTTTATAAAAACCCAGAAAATCCGATATTTTCTGAAAAAGACAATTGTTTATACCAAAGTGTGAAGATCCATAGGTTTACGCATGAATGATTTCAAAGCGTGTATAAATGAGAAGTTTTGCATTATAGTTATTGAAAAGTTCAAGTGAATGGTGTTGATTTCCTCGAAAAACCCGATGTTTTCCGATAACATAATATTATATAATTGTTTCGAATTGTGATACCATCACAACGAATGATTATGATTTTTTCTTGATTACTCAGATAGTATTGTATTTATTTATGTGAGTCGTTATAACCATGCATGATAATGACTAGTTCATCTGTCTTGGCATTCTGACGAACGCCGGAATTGATCTTAAGATTTTGTCACCCTAGACTGGCCGAGTCTAATTGTAGCGAACAACTGAGGTGTGGGGGAGTCACCCATGTATAGATCTATACACAAACTCTCGCTCTCCCTCTAGGAGACTTTGATTATAACTACAAATTACAAACGACCTATAGAGGTGCTACCCGTTATTACTCACTGAATCCAACATGAATTTGATTACCATTGATTAACGACATGTATATGTTTACTGAATTGAAGGTAAGCCTAATAAATGAGGAGAAGAGGATTACAAGGTCCTGCTAATCCTACGTATTATTTATGGCTATTGGGTATACGAAGGACACGTTGATCCATTTCACATTTGATTTATTTGGACCTTACTATCAATGTTAACGGCCCACTGAGGCCCAAAAGCACTTGAAAGCCATTGAGGGTTCCTTAAGCATGAAATTGGGTCACAGGAGGCCCAATAAGCATTTATTATTATCGTTGGGCCCTAAAGTCATGTTAATGCGTCACGAAGGCCCAATAAACATGATTAGGAACTTTAAAGCCCAAAGATTTGAATATTTACTTGTTTAGGTATTGTATAATTGTCGAAAATATTGATTTAATGATTGTTAGATTTGTAACGGCATGGGGTCGGTCGGTTGTTTATAACGATATTTGGAATTATATGCATATTCATCTTTCTATTTTCGTAAGTTGTAATTTGGTGTTTTTGACCCAATATCTTAATAATAAAATAATTGACTCAAAAATATTGGTTTGACCCCTTCCAGCCCTTCTTTAATAAAAAGGACAGTTTTAGTCCTTTATTTAAAAAAAAGACATTTTAGGCCCTTAAACCATTTTTTTTGACATTTATGACCCATAGACTTGTTTAAGTGATGTTTTTAGCTCAAAATTTACTCTTTGGCAGTTTCATCTCCTCCAGTAAAGAGTTTTTCAGTTAAAGTCCAAAATTTTCGCAACTTTTACACTTTTGGCCCAAAATCCAAAGACTTTACATTTTTTATCCTTGTTTGGAAAAAAAATCATTTTAACTCCTGAATTAGTTCTGTTTACCCTTTTACCCCATGTTTTGAGAAATTTACCATTTTAATCCCTTGAAAACCATCTTTTTCGCAATTTTTGGGCCTATGGGCCGAAAAGCCCAAAAATTGGCCCATTAGGCTACATATTACATTTCTAGCCATTTGAAGAGCATAATATTCATAAAAACATATATATTAAATGTTTTGACTCTTTTTGGTCCTTAAGAGAACTGTAAATGAAATCCTTCAACCCTAATTTTTGTTTAATTGACAATTATAGCCCAAAAATGAGTTTTGTGTTGAATTATGTTTACAAGACCTTAGATGATAGTTTTTCTAAACTTGTTAAGTGTAATACATCTTAGATCACATGTATTTCCTCCTTGAACTATAGATATCCAAATATCATTTATTTTTGGCACATATCTACCCAATAACACAAGAAATCACACATAGCATACAAATACACATAGATCTACACATTTTACTTGTATTCTCCCCCATAAAACATATGAAAACTGAAAATAGAGGGGTATGAACTCACCTTTTCTTGTGGATATCGGTTTTGAAGAAGAAATGAAAGAAAATGGTGAGGTCTTT